CCTGTCTGTCTCTGTCTGTGCCTGTCTGTCTCTGTCTGTGCCTGTCTGTCTCTGTCTGTCTGTGTCTGTGTCTGTCTCTGTCTGTCTGCCTGTCTGTCTGTGTCTGTCTCTGTCTTCCTGCCTGTCTGTCTGCCTGTCTCTGTCTGTCTGCCTGTCTCTGTCTGTCTGCCTGTCAGCTGTGCAAAGGCAGTATGTTTTGAGGTCTGGCTCTCAGCTAGGCTGGTCATTCATACACCATAACCCAGTCCTGGGGTCCCCCAGATGGTCCACGTTTTGCTCCCTCCCAGCTCCCAACACATCTGTACCAAGTATTCAGTGTTGATTGGCTGGGGAACTGGGAGGGAGCAGAAATGTAGACCGTCTAGTAAGGGTTTATGAAGTCACGCATGTATGTTTATCCAAGTTAAATGTAAAATGTAACCTGGGGAGAGGCTGTATATATGATGGTATGGCGAAAATTTAAGGTGAAAATGCATTTTAATACAGGACAACTAACCTAACATGTATCATAGCCTAGCCTATCCAACCTTAAACATGCTTAGAACACTTACATTAGCCTACAGTTGGGCAAAATCATTAACATAACGTTTTGAATTTAACATGCAATTTATTGAATGATATACTGAAAGTGAAAAACGTTTACCCGTTGTGAAGTCAAACGCGTGCACACACGCACAAGTTTTTTGTTTGTCTAGTGCAGGGGTGGGCAATCATACCCAGAAAGGGCTGCTGTGTATGTGAGTTTTCACTGCAAATACCCAAGTAGATTACTAATTAGAGGACTGATTGGCTGAGGAGTCCTCACACCTGGGTTTGACCAGCTCACCTAAAGGTTACCCCAAAAACCTGCATATACACCAGCCCTTTGCGGATAACATTGACCATTCCTGGTCTAGTGTGTTCTTTTTAAACACTTTTGTGTTCATGTGTACACACACACAGTGCTTACTGTGTGTGTGTGTGTGTGTGTGTGTGTGTGTGTGTGTGTGTGTGTGTGAGAGAGAGAGAGATTTAAAATATACTTTGTGTGCCTAGATATGTAGGAGAATTGATTTCTGATGCGGAGGCTGATGTAAGAGAAGATGACTCTTATCTTTTTGACCTGGACAACAAGGTACCCATCAATTATATATGGATTTGTAACTTAGTTTACCTGCTTATTTAACCTTTAACATTTCTGTAATTCTATCCTTGTCTTTAATTTCTGTTTAATATGGCTTTTCTCTCTCCTTCACCTTTGCCACAATCCCATCCTCAGCTACTCCTCGTCAATTAAACATATTCATGTTTTATCTGCTGTCCCCTACAGGACGGGGAGGTGTATTGCATCGATGCGCGCTATTATGGCAACATCAGCCGCTTCATTAACCACCTGTGTGATCCCAACATAATCCCGGTGCGCGTATTCATGCTGCACCAAGACCTGCGGTTTCCGCGCATTGCCTTCTTCAGCTCCCGTGACATTCTGACGGGACAGGAGTTGGGGTGAGTGCCTGTTTTCTCACAATATGGTATCAGACGGTTGAGGTGCCTGTGACCTGTGACAAAGGCCAAATGACGAGCTGGTCGTTGAGGGTTCAGTGAATTTTCAATGCTGACCAGCAGAGAAACGTATGTGTGTGTGTGTTTGTTTTTTTTGAACTCCAGGTTTGACTACGGAGATCGTTTCTGGGACATCAAGAGCAAGTACTTCACCTGCCAGTGCGGCTCAGAGAAATGTAAACATTCAGCTGAGGCCATCGCCCTGGAGCAGAGCAGGCTGGCGCGCCTGGAGGCCTGCCCCGAAGTCGGCCCTGACCCGGGTCTTGCTCTCCTGAGCAGTTCCTAGGCATCCCCTGGACTCTGTCACTGAAAGCTCCAACACGAGCCCCCTGTTTTTAACTTGTAGGTCTGCTGCGTTAATTGTCAGAACACAGTTCTGACATTTTTATCTGCAACCGAGACCTTTCCTTTTTAATCTTAGCAGATGAGAACTGAGAGCACAAGATAGTACAGGTGGCCAGGTCATAGACTCCTGTAGTGTAAATAGATGCGAGCAGGACACACTGCGCTCAGCATCGCTTAGGTTAAGTCTGCTTTCACTGAACTCCATCACCATTTTTTCATGGATGAATTGTGGTCATGCAGTACACTGAACGTTGTGGGACTAGCGTTGTACTGAGCTCAGCTGCAGGACCGCGAGGTGATGGCGTTCTGCATGTTGGCGCGATTCGTTTTTGCCTGTCTGCATCCATAACACGTGGTTCATAGAGTTATTCACAGATGCATTTTTTAAGCGTAATTTTTTTTTTTACTTTCCCTTCATGAATTAAATATTGTACTTCAGACCCTTGTACTCGCTGTTCTTATTTCCTGTAAAGAAACGGTTTCCCAGCCTTTCAGTTCCTTTCACTATTTTTTCCCTGGTCATCCTGTACAGTCTTTTGTGCTTTTTATTGAGCTTCACTCAGGTTTTCCGAAACGCATTTTTACGCTGGTGCCCGTTCGCTGTCTCTCCCTGCAAGCTGTCTATTTCTGGTGGCACACCTGTTACATTACAGAATGTCAATGTCTAGCTTACGTGCTGGAGATTTGCTGACAGTCACAGAAGGCCTAGCAAGGTTCCCTTGATTTCCTCTGTCTGGACAACCCTGTGCTGCAGGTCATCCTCTAAGAGCTAGCCCACTGTATTGCCTGAGCATCTTCCCATAAACCAGTTTGCTAGCTAATGCATCATTCTGGAGATCAAAGCCTGCTTCCTTGCTCTTAGATGATTGGTGCACCTTGAGGAAACCACAGAAAGAAGTATTTTATTGTCTGGGAAGAGTTTTTTTTTTTTTCCGCTTTTGGTATGTCCAATTCACTTTAAGTGGTCAGAGTGTTTTGAGGGTGTGTAATTCAGTTCAATATTATTTATATAGCACTTATAATAAAGAGCATTGTCACGACACTTCACAAAATCCTGGGCCTGAGGTAACAATGACATAAAACCCAGAAGGAAACATTGCGAGGAACCAGACTCCACAGGGATGTTGTCCTCTGGCCACTACTGGGAGTATAAGTTTACATAATTGAGTCCAAGGTAATTTCAAACAGATAGTGAGATAGCACCGGTTGGCGGTTGGCGCAGGGAGGATGCTCTGTTTGTATCCAGAGCTCTGATTGGTTAAGCTGAGAAATGGGGCGGGGATATGTAACGTCCCTTAAGTGCGTAACAAACGACGAACAACATCGGCCAGCAGGAGGAGTGCTAAAACGAAATTGTGGCGGGTCTAGTTATACCAGCATAACTGGGAAGGAGAGGCGTAGGAACACAGACAATTAGAATCCCTTAATCAGGCCCCATGCAAAGCAGGAGTGAGCACTGACGGTACGTTTCAGCCAAAGTCACACTGTTCCTCACCCAGCTTGACACTTAATAGTATTACCCAATCTAGGGATGAGTAACTGCCGTAACATACTGGCCCTATAAGACAAAATGTTTTTGTCTAGTATTAAAATTGATAGTGAGCCCGAAAACCCGCACGTTTTCTAAGGGAATGGGGAGGTCTCACTGCGAGGGGGATTCTGTGAAATTTGCCGCCCCGGGGGGAATTTCTCGGTAAACTGTTGCGAATTTTGCGTGATCGTGTTATCAAATGGGTCCTACTCCGCTACTGCGTTTGCTGTAAGCCCATACAACAACCTGCATTCTGAAGTAGCCTTTCTAGGAACGAATGGATAACTTGGCTCTAGCGAGCGAAACAAGCTTGGGTCCTGTGGAGTAAGTACTGAGCTTAAAATCAATACCAAACTTAACAAAAAGCTGACATGCATGAGGCTGGGAATAACAAGATCAAGTGTCCTCGTTTAGTAATCTCCGGCTGCAGCATTCTGCACCAACTAAAGCCTGTTTAAAGAGCCAGAAAGATGTCCACAAAGTTTGCATTGCCAAGTTAATACCAGCTAGCCCCGCTCTGGAAAATGACATCCAAAATAGCTACAACGTAAGAGAACACCTGTGTCAACTAAGTTCTCCTCTGGCCACTCCTAATGCGTTTAAATGTGTTATAATAAAGCAGGGGAGTGACTAGTTTGTTTCCTGTTTAAGGGCCTCTACCGAAATATTTTAAGGAAGTATGACAATAATTGCTGCCGTGCTACGGAATGAGATGCTTACTGCTAAGTACATTTGATAATAAAGCAGGGTTGCCAGCTCTCACGCAAGAAATCTTACGGCAAATATATATTATTCTATCATAAACCTAACATTAGCTAAATCAAAGGCGTTGCAAACGCTACAGGATATTTAAAAGGTAATAAATATGTTACATACATGTAAATGGGTGTACATTCGTGTGCAGACTTATCTCGAACTGAAAATCTCACGCCAGCCAGCTGACCAAAGTTGGCAACCCTGTGAAGGACTTTAGGGGGTGTGTCGCGTCGCTAGGTGGCGATGACGTCACGCCAATTAGGGTGGGGTTACCGGTGGGGCGTGTCGCGTCAGGTGCGCGTCTCCTGCAGGTACAGCGGTGACGGAACCGCCTAGATACAGTCCGCGCGAGATTGACGCTGCAAGCTGCTGCTTCGGGAAACGTGTTTGGCTTGTTTGTTTTTCGGGTTTTGTGCACCTTTCGTTGTTACATTAAAGCGGAAATATTTTAAAAGTATCATTTGGAAATGTTAAAGCCATAAAAACACTGTGGCCATAATCGAAAACTAAATTAAAAAGGAAATTTTAAAAATAAAACTTAGAGATGGGTAAAAAATCAGGGGAAGGCGACCCGCATTATGGTAAGTGCGCTGTGTGAAATTTTATTGAAATATTACTAAAACATCTTTTAATTTTCGTAATATTTTAATTGTTAATTGTTTACTAAAGCAGTTAAAATATAAATCTAAGCATGATGTGCAGTGGTGTGCAGTATTTTTGTTCAAAACGTAAGTATTGTAACCGTTATCCCGTTAATTTGGTTGTCAGTAGTGGCTTGTCGATCGTTAACCCTAAAGCCATCTTTTTAAAAGTCGCGGCCTTTAAATTCTTTGTAGTATTGTATAGACGGGCACTTCACATAATAAATACTTACATACCATAGCTGTTTGAATTAATGGAACTGTTTACATTGCCCGCTTTCCTGTATTATTGTTTGTCTATAATATTGTTTTATTCTCTGAGCTCTTGGTGCATTAGGTAATTTTCATGTTGTTTTTGTTACTAATTTTTGTTGTTTGTTTGGATCCGTTTTGACGTCAAATATACTACATAGAACCACTCTACTTTTAAGATTGTTGGTTTTTTTAGAGTGATGTTACATTTTCGCGTTTTGTAGTAAGTTATATAAATATGGAAAATATTTGTTATGATTTTATAAGGTGGTCAGATACATTATTGCAGACGAAAACGCTAATTTCAATGAATGCTATAAACAGACCCATAAAATTATACATTATAAATCCTGGCCTGTTCATGTGTCAGTAATGTTGAACCATTTAGATAAATATAATACTTTTATCTTTCTTGTTTTTATCTTGATAAGCTTAAGTAGGAAGACTATATGAAATGATAGTTTTACAATTGTGTTGTATCCTGATACTTAATATTTTCAAGCTTTTCATCAGTATGTATTATCGATTTTATACTCTTGGTTACAAGATCTTTCCTTTACGCTGTTAAATGCAAAGGAATCTAGTTTTGCAGCATCAAATAGTCTGTGTGTGTGTGTGTTTGTGGTTGTGCTTATCAGCCTGGTCTGACTACTTTTCATAAAACCATCATGTAAATTGAAAATTAGGGACAAGTCATTCAGCTCCTCCTTTTAATTGGATGTTTGGCTTAGAAATGATATTAAAATTGTATGTAATAGCTGTCTCAAAGAAATCAAAGAGGTTTGACTTACTAACTCACAAATTCCATACCCTCACAGTGCTTTTTGACAGAACCATATTTGAACTGCTTTTTTAATAATTCATTACAATAATTACCTCATTATTCCTTTGACGTGAGTTTAAGCCGTTTACAACTACATGCAATTTTTTCTTATGACTGCAGGAATACAGTGTCATGGCATGTATGTAAAATCATTTCTGTAATGGTACCTGGCCATTTGGTTACTATAGCGCCTGACATCATCTGGAAAAGAGGCACAGCCTCCCAGACTGAACCTTATGGCAGCTCTGCAGCCTGTACCTCTGAGAAATTAAATATTGTTTTCTGTCTGATAGGGTGGTTTCATTTTAGAATAGACTTTTCCACATGGGTATGAAACTTTTTTTTGTAATTTTCTGTCCAGTATTACTGGTTATTTGATGTAGGAATGTAGTAGATTTGTTGTATACTGAATTGAAGGTTGCACCAGGAAGTGTTCCTGAAATGTGTCCCGAAGTTTCACGCTCCATTTACAATTTGGTTTATGCGGCAGTTAAGAGAGAGGAAGGTCTATTTGTCTCCACTGTTGCCCTGGCTTTACTTTTGCCTGTTGGGCGAAACGTGTAGTTTTCTGTGTCGTGTGTAGTTGTCTGGATGGTGTAGTTTTCTGTGTTGTGTGTAGTTGTCTGGATGGTGTAGTTTTCTGTGTCGTGTGTAGTTGTCTGGATGGTGACTGCCCTGGAGATCTGTAGTGATCCCAGCATTAGTTAAGGAGAATTTGCACCCTTTTTATGTCCCTCAACCCTCTGCATTTCTCTGTATATGTTATTTGATGGTTCTGCCTGTCACTCCAATACACAGTCCTTCATCTCAGATATGACAAAGTGTCACCAAGGAGTGTTATAGAATTTATCAGAAATACATCAAATTCACGCCTTCATCGGTTTAATATTAAGCTTGTTGTGTATTTAATATATTTTTTAACATTATTATTTTGTTTCTTTTACCTTTTCAATTTCGCTAGACGTCTTGATATTTATTAACCAGTTTTTATATATCAGTTCATTTATCTATCTTTTTAATACATGTATGTGTATGTCACATTTTATTTGGTTCCTATCTTTATAAGAATAGTGATTGACAGACCCTAGCTCTTGCCATGAGAGAGCTGTAGATGCTTAAACTTCCATATTGCTCCCTACCTTCTTGTATTTCTGGGTTGCTGTCCTTTTTACAGCTCCAGATTGTGAGGCTGTCCCTCGTTCAGAATCACGTAAGGAAAATGGCTGTACTGTTGAGTAACACGGCTAAATATTCCAGTAGTTTACTGGTTGCAGAATGTACACCTGTAAATATTGGTTTTCTGTTTGCCTATTCTGAATACTTTGATCTAACTCTGCAGTGCCCTGAATCAACATACATTTTGGGAGCAGCGAAAAGAATTTTACTTTTTTGTTTACTCAGGGTGGAGGGTGTTTTACCCAGATGAGTAAAGACTGATGCATTACGGGGACTTGTATGTTTTCTTTTAAATGGTACCTTGAAAGCAGCTAGCATCCTTAAAAAGCCTGTAGTAGACAGATGGTTTTGCCAGGTTCGTCTTGGTTTTGTCCATTTCCTTGTTTGTTGTGCTGTTTGGTTTTGCCAGGTTCGTCTTGGTTTTGTCCATTTCCTTGTTTGTTGTGCTGTTTGGTTTTGCCAGGTTCGTCTTGGTTTTGTCCATTTCCTTGTTTGTTGTGCTGTTTGGTTTTGGGATGTTCGTCTTGGTTTTGTCCATTTCCTTGTTTGTCGTGCTGTTTGGTTTTGGGAGGTTGCTGCATTTAGTGTTATTTGATCTGCTGGGAATTCTGGGATACAATGGCAGCATATTTCATAGTGTGTGTGTTTGTGTTCTGATACCCGATGTTCTAGTTAGAAGAGTCAAGAGAATTAGCAGACAGGTGCTTCAGGTTTAATTGTTGTCTCATGACTTTGGGTCTGTGACACTGTCTGTAATTCGTTAACTGGAAATCACATTTAACGAGGGACAAAGACCAGTGAAGACTGCATTGCTCCTTGTCTTTTACATCATACACCCGCTGAGTGGGCAGCTTAAACTGCCCCTACTCCTGTTTTCAGTGAAGCAGAGCTGCACACGGAACCTTGCGTTTTATGGCTGGGTGGGGTGGTTCCCCCGGTCGGGCCTGTCAGAAGTTTACCGGTATCTTACCTGTCAGAAATTCATCAGTATATTATCTTTCAGAAATTCCAAGCACTTCCTGATTGTGCATACGCACATCCAGAATGACTTCCTGTCAGAATCGGGACTTTTATTTACATACACTAATGTTTTTTGCATATTTGCAGGGTTTGCTAGTCCAGACCTGGCTTCTGAATACTGTTGACTTAGAAATGTACCTGGATGTCTAATCCATGGAAAGACTCCATTTTGGTATTAAACTCCAAACCCTTGAGGTGGCTTTTAGGATCGTGTGAGACGGCATGAAGGTCATGGAGACTCACCGTCATAGTCAATTTGTTTTTTGTATTAAGGGTTTTAATGCTGATGAACATCATAGAGTTCAAGCATCCATGACATCTCTAATCGCTCTGAAAATGGCACGAGGACATCATTCTAGAAATCAGTGCCCGAAATGTAGCTTGACTGGTTGGTGTTTGTTGGGGTGCATTGTCACTCTCCTGTCTCACCCTGAAATCCCTCTCTGATGTTTAGCTCTACTTCTGTCTCTTACAGTACCACTCAATTATTTACATTTGCATGACATTAAAGTTTTGTTGTTTAGCCTACATACCTGGTTTATCAGGGTTGAGTAGCATCCAATTTTAATGCAGCATTTTAAACTCTTTTAATATTCAGACTAAAGTTAATATTTAATGTACAGTCTAAAATTAAGTTTGATAAACTAGCCACGGTGTTTGAATGAAAGATGCACATGCGATAGGCTTTTGTGTTTTTTCCCGACTTTCTACAAATGGAACAAGATCTTTATGAATGTTATCAGAATCTTTTATTTGATTTAGCTTTTTATCCCTGTCAGGAAAAAAGAAGTGCTCAAAAACGCTTTCCTACTTGTATAACTACTCTTAATTAGTTAATGACTTTGAACCGCTGACTTATTAACTCAAGAAATACAATCAGACCCTTTTCCTAGTCGTTTTTTTGTGTGTGTGTGTGTGTGGGGGGGGGGCTTCAGGCATTTCTCTGTGTCATTTGGAATAATTCATCCATTTTCTGTACCAGTTATGCAGTTCAAGGTCACAGTGATGGTGCAGTATGGGGGTAATTTGATGCAGTGGAAGTTTTGATCTCACACGTAAATGTGGCCAGTGAAACCGACTTACCTGCAGAAGTCACCCAGGGTTGGCTGATGGTCTCCTGTTACTGTCATATTTACGCCTTGGAAGATGTCATAAGTGAGTGGCTGTTGACTTTGAACTTTGGCCTGATATATTTCCTGGTGATGCAGTGAAAGTGTTTCCATAAACAAGTTTAAATATGAAGATGCACCAAAGGGTTGATGGGCCTGGCCCATTACCGGAAGTATCCTTTAACTGTGTTACCTGAAATTGTGTAATTGGCATGGAGTTGAAACAATCCCCCGTGTAAAAGTACACAAAGAGCCAGTGTCCACTGATGACCTCTCCCTGCACTTCCTCCGTCTTTAGAATCAAATCAGATTCAAATGTCCTGCCTAACCCTGCTCTCACCACTGTTTGCCATGCTTTGCTGATGTTTCAGAGCCATTGTCGCAGACCTCTCACTTGACTGTCAGTGGATTTTCCATTTTGAGCACAAGAATGCTGCAGTCTCAACTTCACATCTGAGCGGGGACAAAGGTTAAAGTTCACAAACTGAAGTGACAGGCTTACTAAAATGTGTTTATTTCAGGGGAGCCTGTCCAATTTGACCCTACCTTTAATGGCCCTTTACGGAATCGGTATGTATCATCAGCCTTTTATGCTCTTGGTTAGAAGATCTTTCCTTTACGCCGTTAAATGCAAAGGAATCTAGTTTTGCAGCATCAAATAGTCTGTGTGTGTGTTTGTGGTTGTGCTTATCAGCCTGGTCTGACTCTCCTCTCTTTCAGGAGCTGCACAGATATCATCTGCTGTGTCCTCTTCATGGCTTTCATTATCGGGTACATAGTCGTGGGGATTCTGGGTAAGGCATCTCTCTGTTCCCTCCCACCCGCAGCGCACACTCGTCATCTCATGCACCTGTGACTTTTGCCTCTTCCCCATGTCTGCCCACACCAATCAGATTCCTTTCAATGACATCACACGTTTGGCTTTAGGTGACTGCAATGTTAAGGTCAAACCCCTGTGAGGATATTGTATATAAAAGAACCGCTGTGTCAGGAACACACTGTCCCACGTTAAAACAAAAAGCATCAAATGCTTCCTCATTCATCAATCCTGACAGCGTTTAGATTGAAGGCTGTCAGTAATTACCTAAGATAATTTATATTATTTACTTATGTTTAATCCCTTGTTTCCTCCCCTTTACGAGCCTGGGTCTATGGAGATCCCCGACAAGTCCTCTACCCTCGAAATTCTACTGGAATGTTCTGTGGGATTGGACTGAACATGTGAGGCGTCATTTTTCTAATCTTGATGAGTTTCTGTTGAAACACCTGACTGTCTAAAAGGCTTCCGAGTCTGGGAGGTGCCACTTCTGTATGTTTGCTTGTCCCCTCCACTCCCATTATGCTGGTGTATCCATACCATAAATAAGAAGCAAATTGTTGGCAGTAAAATGCAGCACCTCAGATACTGAGATCCCTTGGTTTTTATTTTTTCCCCCGGTGGCCTGCAGGGACAAGCCGAGCGTCTTCTACTTTGACCTGCTGAAGTGCGCTACGGCTACCAACATCATGGCGGCCGCACTCAACGGGTTACAGTGTCCCACCACGCAGGTGAGGCCTCTCGCCTCGCTGGCAGCGCCCTGCCTCACGGGCGAGACTTCGCACTCATGGGCAAAGCCACAACATGTCGAACTCCATGCCAATGTCAAGTTTCCAGAAAACAATGAAGCTGAATGATCTGAATACAAATTGACGAAAAACCAAATAAAGACAATGGGTGTTTCTCAATACCAAGAACGCAAAGACCGTACTTGTGGTCTTGACAAGACCAGTCTTGCTAACTTGCCTCCCAAGAATGAACTTGGAGACCAATAAATCATGGGATTGGTCTGGTTTAGCGAGGATGCAGCTGATGTAGCCTTGATATTTTGGGCAGGACAGGAATGAAATCTGGGTTTTTACTGTCCTCTGTACGTCTGTTCTTGAGGATTGGATCTGGTCTTCGGCAATGGAAGATAACGTACAAGAGATACACAAGAACATACAGTCAAGTACGCATATTAAACACCCCAAGTTAAGCATTAATGAAAGTTGTCCAAACAAAAATTTTCCTTTTCCATCATCATCGCAATGTGCGTATCCACAATACAACATCGCAATTGTCGGCATTGTTTTATGTCCGTTAACTCAACTCACGCCAACACCACTGTCTTACTTGAAATGCTCTATTGGTAGATGCCAAGTTCTCCTCGGTTATAGTTTATCGTAACTTAATATATATTTTTTTTGTTGTATAAAGATTACAATATTACTCTTGGAAGTTTCATATTGCAATGTGATATCGCACAGTCCTAACAGAACGTTAAGGGTTAATCCTCATAGCTGAGCCTACAGCTTACATATTAAGCAGGAAAAGGTAAATGCTGCGTAAAGTCCCTGACAGAAGGTGCTGTTTTATTTTAATCTGTAGTGTATCCACCTGGTTTATGGTCCACATTTGACCCCCAAATCTCTTCCACGATGCAGGTGTGCGTCCAGCAGTGTCCCAGTCGGTTCTGGCTGCTGTCACCGCGGGCTTATGCCCCAGGAGCCAAACCCAAAGACCACTTTGAACAACAGTACTGTGTCCCCTCTATCAACCTGACCAGTACCACGCTGGTGTGTTTTATCCCAATCTTGCACTTCAGTCTGTGTCTGCAGGCTATATATGTGTCTATAACATCCACAAATTAGTCAGGTTGGCACAGTTGATGATGTAATCTTTGCTGGCGTGGCCTGTATGTTTAAATTTAAAAACAATGACTAATCTAGTGACACCTTGCGTCTCAATGAAAGTACACGGAACCCTAACACACAAAACACCATGAAGCGTAACTGGTTCCTGGTCTTCATCGGGGAGTCACATGTTGGTTAAACATCAGAAGCTTAGGAATTAATCCCCCCCCGTGCTGCCCCAGTACACCAGTAAAATGTAGAGTGACAGCGAGCTGTAATTAAAGGGGGTCTTTGTTTCAGTTAGACGTGAAAGAGTGAGACGGGATCTTTCTGGGATATTTTATCTGTATTCCGTCTCATCCCCCCCAGTCTGTCCAAGACATCATCAATCGGGAGCTTTGCCCGGTCTTCTATACGCCAACCACCTCTGGTAAGGGGCTTTTTAAATAAATTAGTGCCGTATAGCTTCCGTGACTCATTTGTGACCTTGACACTGATTTCGGTACAAGGTCCTTTTTTCAAAAGGTGCTTCTATCTTGTTTCCTGCGATCCTGCTGGCTGATTTCATGGGATCAGTGGCATCGCTTTCCTGTGGGCACGCCCCTGCCATGTACCTTCACCGCCTGTGACGTTCTGCGGTTGACAAATGCCCGGTGTCACTCCCTTCTATATTCTGTTACCTGACGCCCGGTGCAGCCACCAGACAGGCAGAGAAACAGGTTTTTTTTCCAGTTAGTCCACTGTGTGCTTCCCAGCTTGATCTAATTCAGAGTTAACAATCAGTGTAACTCGGCTATAATCTGCTTTACCGAATCCACTTGTCTTTTCCTTTTCTGTCACACCAGGGATTCCCGTTTTCCTTCCCATTTCCCAGTTTGCTTGTTTCTGTCTCCATGGCTGTATTCCCAGCCTGTCCCCTTGTGTTCTTGATACTTGTCATGATAGTTTTGTTCTTCCAGTTGCCCTAGTGAAGCGATTAGGTATTAACCCCTTTGTGACCTCACGCAGCGCTGGGGAGATGTTTGCCCAGTGTCGGTTCGTTGGACAACATCCCCTCCAACTTCACGCTGCCTGGGATGAGCTCAGCGAACGACACGGCTAATGCTATCAAAAATGCCACAAGGTACGCCAGGATACCCGCTGCATGACGCCTGCGCCAAACTGCCAGAGTGGGTAGTAACATAAACATGAAATGTATACAGTTGTGTTCAAAATAATAGCGGTGTGTCTAAAAAAGTGAATAAAGCTGAAAATTCTTATAATAGTTTGTATTTCCATACAAGCAAATGCATTGGGAACACTACAAATTCTATTCCAAATCAAAACTAGAAGAGAAATTCATCACATTTGTGTTATTCCTTTTCAGAAAGTGAAGGAAATGGAATATTAGGCTGTTCAAAAAATAGCAGTGTCCATATTCTTCTTTACAAACTCAAAGATTCACTGTATGAACTGAAAAATGTTTTAAGATTTTTTTTTCCTTTGAATCATTGAACTAATATTTAGTTGTATAACCACTATTTCTGAGAATTGCTGCACATCTGTTGTATGGAGTCGACCAACTTCTGGCACCTGTGAACAGGTATTCCAGCCAAGGATGATTGCACTACATTTCTTGGTTTTGCCTCAGAAACAGCATTTTTGATGTTACCCCACAAGTTTTCTATTGGATTAAGGTCCGAGGATTGAACAGGCTACTCCATAACGTCAATCTTGTTGGTCTGGAACCAAGATGTTGCTCGTTTACTGGTGTGTTTGTGGTCGTTGTCTTGTTGAAACACCCATTTCAAGGGCGTTTCCTCTTTGGCATAAGGCAACATGACCTCTTCAAATATTTTGAGGTATTCAAACTGATCCATGATCCCTGGTATGCGATAAATAGGCCCGACACCATATCACAGTATGAGAAACATCCCCATAACATGATGCTTGCACCACCATGCTTCACTGTCTTCACAGTGTACTGTGGCTTGATTTCAGTGTTTGGGGGTCATTTGACAAACTGTCTGCGGTCACTAGACCCAAAAAGAACAATCTCAGTCCACAAAATGTTGCGGCGTTTCTCTTTAGGCCAGTCAATGTGTTCTTTGGCAGATTGTAACCTCTTCAGCACGTGTGTTTTTTTCAGCAATGGGATTTTGCGGGGGCTTCTTGCCAATAGCTTGGCTTCACATAGGCGTCTTCTAATTGTAACAGTACTCACAGGAAACTTTAGACCATCTTTGATCTTCCTGGAGCTGATCATTGGTTGAGTCTTTGCCAATTTTGCTATTCTTTGATCCATTCGAATGGTAGTTTTTCGTTTTCTTCCACGTCTTTTAGGGTTTGGTTGCCATTTTAAAGCATTAGCAATCATTTTAGCTGAGCAGCCTATCATTTTATGCACTTCTTTATATGTTTTCCCCTCTCCAATCAACTTTTTATTCAAGGTACGCTGTTCTTCTGAACAATGTCTGGAACGACCCATTTTACTCAGAATTTCAGAGAGAAATGCACTATAACCAGCATGTACAACATTTGCTGCCTTCATTCCTTAAATAAGGCCTATAATTGGCACCTGGTTTTTCACAGAACGAATGACCTCACTAATTGAACTTCACACTGCTATTTTTTTTAACACGCCCCTTTCAAGTAATGATTCTGTTACACATAATCAGCAGCATGCATGTCATGACTGTTGGGTCTGTTGGTATTCCATTACTCTACTACACCTACTAGTAAATTATTTGCCATGTAGAAATATAATTTCTACCAAAAACAGTGATTGATCAGGTTAGTGATGTTGGACTGCTGTTATTTTGAACACAACTGTACGCACAGAGAGAGGTGCGGTGTTTTTCATACCCCTGAGCTTCATAACTGGAATGATTAACCAACCGTTTATACAGGGATTCCTAATCAAGTCTTTTGGGGTAAGTAATTTTCAGGGCACGGTTTTGTGGTACAGTCTAGGCTTGGGGTGGCGTAACATTAGGCCTCTGTGCCCGTAATCAGAAGGTCCTGGTTAGAACCCTCTCGTCTCCACTGGGTTCTTGAGTGGGGCCCTTAACCCCCACAAAATGCTCCAAGGACACCAGTCAAACTGCTGAGCTCATGCTCAGACCCCTAGCTACGCTCTCGACGAGATATATTCAGTATGTACACCGAGGAGCCAAAACATCATGACCACCCGCATGTGAAGCGAATAATGTGGACGACCTAGTAAAAACGATGCGTGTCAACGATATATTAGATGGTCATCAGTGCGTATATATATATGTGTGTGTGTCTCAGAGAGCATGATGGGATATGCAAAATCTGAAGCATTCCAATGTACCTGTACATGTACAAATGGCACATGAAAGGATCATCACAGCTTTTCACAGGCCCAGTGTTCGGTTTGTCCACTGCGTCTAACTGCCTTTCTCCTCCCCCCCACCCCCACACTCCCAGTCAAGGAACACTAACTACGTGAGTCGCTGTGACGCCACCGTGCCGCGTTTTCGGCCACTAGTCTTTAGCCCTAGTGCTTGCATGTTCGCTCTTTTAGCCATTATTTAGCAAAGTCTGTCCAGGTCATTTAAGGTGCGTTAAATCTCACTGTGCGATACCTGTTGGTGCTGCTGTTTGAGTGGGTTGTCTAAGTGCCGGAAAGATTGTGTCCAAGCCTCCATGTTTTCCATTGGCCAGCACTGTGCCCACAACGTCCAATCCAGTGCATGTCTGGTTGCCCGTATCACTGCATGTCAGAGCCAATGAAATTGATCCCATGTTAAATATTTTCTCTGCATTATTACTCTGATTCTCAAGGCCTTTAAAACACACCTTGAGTTTATACACACATATGCCATTATCTTGTACTAATTAAGTGGTTAAGAAAAACAAATATTTAATATATATAATCAGAACACTAGATTCTTAAATAGTATTTAATATTAAATGATGTATTAAATACTTCAGAATTTGGAATTGCAGGTTGGGATGGGTGGTGTTCCAGACGCAGCTGTTTTACTGTGACCATGCTGGCTGCGCTGACTCTGAAGAGTCTCCTTCCCAGACTCGGGGATCTGCTGCATGTCCAGTGGACAGAATGACCTCTGGGATGCATTGAATAGAGTTAAACACGTGCAGGACGTGTCTATTGCCTGGCATGACCCAAGGCACCCAGGCAAGCTAGTGCGTTATGGGGGGTGAGACTCAGTCTGTCTGCATGCTCTGTGCTAACCTCAGTCTTCGTCCCAGATGCTCAGCTGCGTAGGTTTTGTGTGCCTAGAAAACTAACCGCTGTCTGTTTCTCTTCCTCACCCTGTGGATGTGTCTCTTGTCGGCTTTTTTCCGGCTTCTCTTCAGCTGCATACTGTGCAGTGCTAAAAGTATGTATCTTCATTTGTCTCTCCCTCCTTGCCAGCGACGTGGTGAATGGATTCAATGCCAAGGACATCGGAGTTCGAATCTTCGAAGATTTCGCCTCGTCGTGGTATTGGATTCTTATGTGAGTTACTTTTGTTTCAGAAAGGACAGGGCTAGTTCGACACTGCCCCCTGGTGGGGAATAAATATAACTGCAGTGTAAACCAAACAGCCGGGTGCAAATACAAATGTCAGTTTTATGAGTATCACCTCTCACTCTCATCCAGAATTGCTTTAATTTTATTTCTTAGTTCAGATTATACGAGGTAATTCTGCACATAAATACCAAGTGGAAGACCTGTACTTGGCTATTAAAATGTCATCTTCACTGCTTTGTCCTCACCGTGTCGCAGCACCTCGTCACACATGCTTGTCTGTTCTCCTCCTGACAGCGGCCTTCTGATAGCCATGCTGCTAAGTCTGCTCTTCCTCCTGCTGCTGAGATTCACGGCACCAGTGCTTGTCTGGGTCCTCATAGTGGGAGTCCTGGCAGCAGATGCGTACGGTGGGTCCCGTTTGGTTATAGCCGGAAGCTGCTCGTGCGAGCGCTCACTGGTCATGTGGGTGTATCCCTGACGTGCCTCACGGTTGTCCTGCCGTTACAGGAATTTGGCATTGCTACTGGGAGTATAACAACTACAAAAACTCCAACACGACCATCAACACTATCGGCTTCACCACCAACTTCTCCGCTTACCTGCAAGTCAAAGAGACGTGGCTTGCATTCAGTAAGTCTGCTTGGCTGTGCGGGTCCTAGTCTTTGTGCGTGGTTCTGCTACCCCACAAAATCCTTCTGTTTTGTTTTTGTTCGTTCATTCATTCATTCATTCATTCATTCATTCATCCATTTATTTATTTAATTGGCCTGCAGTACATCGTACAGCACCTCAAGGTTTTTGGTATCTGTGTCTTGTATATCAATACTCTAGGTAATGATTGTTCATCACCCTGCTTGATAGGTGTAGGTACTGGATTAAAGCGTCGTCTGTTGCCATGGTAACACACTTGTCTTTCTCCATCGGCCCCCTCTAGTGATCATCCTCTGTGTGGTGGAGGCCATCCTGCTTCTGATCCTCCTTTTCCTGCGAAAAAGGATCCTAATCGCTATCGCCCTCATCCAGGAGGCTAGCAAGTAGGCCCCCCCATTCCCCAACCATCATTTCAGTGACAATTACCCCCCCACGGTCCAGTCCCATAATGAATGATCCGCATGTCTGCAGGTGCTCACACACAATGCCTGTTTTTAGTACCTGAAAACATTGGCAAGAATCATTTTAATATGTACGTATGGCTAAAGTCCAAGTTTCCTGGTGTGGTTTCTTTGTATGTAACATTTTGCTGTTCGGCTCGTATAAACAAATGCAGGTCTCGCAGTTGAGGAAATCATGTGATGTCAGGTGCGAGATTTTGATGGTGCTTTTTCTCGTCCCCAGGGCGGTGGGTCACATGATGTCCACGCTGGTCTACCCGCTCGTCACCTTTGCGTTGCTGCTTATCTGCGTCGCCTACTGGGGAATCACTGCTCTGTATCCTCTCAGTGAAGAGTTTTGATTGTCGGGGCTCCTCCTCCAATCGTGTGGAGGGGTTGAGCCACTGAGTACCCGCTTCCATTGCTGTTTGTGTGTGTGTTTGCTGCTTGTGCCGAAGTGTGTGTCTGTGTGCGAAAGCTGCACGGCACGGCGGACTGAGTTATCCCTCCTGATCCAGTGTCTGCAGATACCTGGCCACGTCTGGGCCCCCCATCTACAACGTAGTGGCCCTCAATGCCTCCGCTCCTGGCTGTGGGTCCATCAGAGGCAACCAGACCTGTGACCCTCTGGTATATCTTCTAAATTTCCAGTTTACATCCAAACTGTGGAACATTTAAGTTTTACTATTGCTGAACACAGTGTTTCCAAACCCGGTTCTTGGGGACCCCAGTTAGTCCACGTTTTTTTTCCTGCCAGAAGCTGGGAGTGAGCAAGAATGTGGGATTTTAATTTTTATACTAGTATGGCTCCCATTAAATAAATAATTTATTTCTATAAAAACACTGAAATCCATCCTCCCATCTTCCAGCCCCCAATCTAAGGAGCCAATTTAATTTTAGTGGGAAGTTACAGAATCAGTTATATCTTCCCATGCCTGTCCTCAGGGGCCCAGCTAAAAATTCTAGGCCCCCAGAGAAAATGTTACCTTGCCGACCCCCCCCCCCCCCCCTCTCCCAACTTAGGTTGGCAGTTTCACGCTGCAGAAATTCTGATCCCAAGTATATATAATTTGCCAGGTGGGGGTACCTTGGTAGATTGTGCAGAGCGGGTTCTCCACAGTAGGTTTTGGGATTTCTATAAAGTGCTGCCCCCCCTGAATCTGCCAGCGTACCCATGTCCCTCTGATGCCCCTGTCTCTCAACAACCTCTTTTCTCTGTTCTCCTCAGTCCTTCAACTCGTCGCTCTACTCGCCCTGCTCCTCCGCCCAGTGTATCTTCATCAAATACAACAACGAGGGTCTTTTCCAGAGAAACATGTTCAACCTGCAGATCTACAACGTGCTGGGGCTGCTCTGGTGCGTCAACTTCGTCATCGCCCTGGGCCAGTGCTCGCTGGCGGGGGCCTTCGCCTCCTACTACTGGGCGTTCAGCAAGCCGGCCGACATCCCCGCCTTCCCACTTTGCCAGGCTTTCTTCCGGACCCTGCAGTAAGATCCGTCCCACATCTCCCCACTCCACGTCCAGGCTGAGGTCACCAGCAGAGTAAAAAAGCCCTAATGCTTTTCTGTAGGTACCATGTGGGCTCTCTGGCCTTCGGCGCCCTGATCCTGACGCTGGTCCAGTTTATCCGGGTAGTTCTGGAGTACATTGACCACAAGTTCAGAGGTACAACAATTTCCTCCCACGTACTTCCTGCAAGTTCTTCTGGATTCCAATCTTACCAAGAATTAAAATAAATTTAAATGTCTTTGTTTGCATTTACCGTTATTTTATAATGTACTGGTGTACTGGTACGGACCTCCAGTGTATGCAGTACTAAGGTTTTTCTGCAGTGACGTGATGTGTTTTGTCATTAACGAACTCCTGTGTCTAGTTGCATTCAGTCTTTATATACAGGCTTAACTTGTTGCTGTGTCAGTGCAGTGCTGCTGTCATCACCCAGTATGAGTGTACTAACCTGCGTCACTGTCTCCATGGAAACCTCGTGTCACTGCAGAGGTCCAAAACCCCTGTGCACGCTTCATAATGTGCTGCCTGAAGTGCTGCTTCTGGTGCCTGGAGAAGTTCATCAAGTTCCTTAACAGGAATGCCTACATCATGGTCAGTGTTGCCTGAGAAACGGAGGTCATGCCACCAATGGGGGTGGGGGGTAGGTTACTGAAAGGCTTTGATCCCTCTGGGATCCTCTCCACTTTGCTTACAGGCTGAGGAGGGTGGAGGATGCCACTGCTGCATTGCTCCATCAACATTTAGAGGGTCTTAAAACATTGTGAAACCTTTGCATTCAATACTATCCAGCCCCATATTTTAGCCAGGAAACTTGAGATTTTAGGCTGGATTTTAATATTGTTGGTTGGATTTTGGATTTTATGACCAGTCGAATGTAGAGGTTGAGTGTGAACAATAATTCTACAGATTGGTTAGTATCGTCAAACGTGGTCACCTCACGGCTGCATCTTCTCATCACTGTTTTATTTCATATACAAGCGATTGTTACAGCTACTATGACCATTCTGTCATAATGAGTCTTTTGAGTAAAAATGACCCATTGAATGGTCAAGTGACCGATTTTGCTAAAGGATGCTTTCTTACAACTCAAGGTTAAAAAGACAAAACAAATGACAATTGGATTTAGTCTAAATAAAAACATTTCCCAGCTGCAACAGATCAGCATCTCAGGTAGAAAGTGTGGGACAGTTCTTGACAATCCCCATTAAACGCCCTAATTACAAATCTTTTATTCAATCTGGTATCTTTTACTCTGTCTATAACCCTTAAGGCAGAGAATCAGCATAGCAAACGTGCATTGACCAGGATTGTTAATGTGGCTCGTAAAATAACAGGAAGTACACAGGTAGGGTTACTGGAACTCTTCTGTAGGCAGGTCTTGCGTAAAGCCCAGTCTCTCCTTAGATCATAACTCATCCATTGCGTCAGGCATAGGTACCCTTCCTTCCGCAACTCCTTTTAAATGCTTTTTCGTCTGTTTAGCTATTAAGCTTTTAAATTGTGCCTAGATAAGGCTTACAAGTATTATGAATTTTATTTGTTATTCATATATTTGTATGTATTGAATGTATTTTGTACTTTTTGGGATTTCTGCAACCAAATTGCCTTCAGGGAAGTGAATAAAATGAGCTTGACTTGTTTGTGTACAAATGTAACCTAATCATTTTAGTGCCTCAATTACTGAGCGAGCAAATTATTATTGGAGTCAGTTTATCTGTTTGTTAGTGATCTCCGGAGTATTTTATCTACATAACAGTGTTATCATGGCAGCTCTTGTTTGATTAACAGATTGCCATATATGGGAAAAACTTCTGCGTTTCAGCCAAAAACGCTTTCAAGCTTTTGATGAGGAACATAGTGAGGTGAGTCGACTCGTTTTTCTTCTCATATTTAACCTGATCTAATTTCAGAGCTTCCAGATGAGTCCGTGTGTGTTATGCTGTATGTGTGTGGATCATTAACAGGGTGGTGGTCCTGGACAAAGTGACAGACATCCTCTTGTTCTTCGGGAAGCTCTTAGTGGTTGGGGGAGTCGGTAAGACCTCAACTATCTGAAACGCATCAATTTTCCGACTGCTTTTAATGGGGATTTTCCATAACTCATTCAAAAACGAGGTGACTTGTTGTTGATACCAGAGTGTGTGTTTTTTTTTCTGCCCATATTTTTCCTCCTTTTCCAAGAAACTTGCTCTCAGAAGATCTTTTCCCCTCTTCCTCAGGTGTCCTGGCATTATTCTTTTTCTCTGGCCGCATACAGCTGCCTGGTAACACATTCCAGGCTGGAGTGCTCAACTACTATTGGGTGCCCATTATTGTGAGTTTGACCATTGAGAATCCTCCTGTCTTCCATTTGATATCTATTATACCTATTTTATACCCTTTTGCCTCCCCTACACCATCACCATGATAATTAGATGGATACTGGATGCGATTTGAAGAAATTCCCCAATGCCTATAAACCAGGATCCAGCCCACCCCATATCTGCCCTGTCTTGATCACCCTCCCCCAACCCCCCCTGTCGTTGCAGACGGTGGCAGTTGGGGCGTACCTCATCGCTCACGGATTCTTCAGCGTCTACAGCATGTGTGTGGACACGCTGTTCCTCTGCTTCCGTGAGTACCAGCACATACTTTGTACTGGATCCATGTCACTAGGGGGATGTACTAACGGCCCTCTTCCATATCATGGGAGGAGCTTAGTGACAAAACTGTCCAATCAGCAGCGGGATGGATAGTCACCAGCTTTATACTTGCATGACGCAGCTGCTCTCCTTCAGTGTAGTTTGACCTTTTGTCACTGCTCACAATTGGGTTGAAGCCCAGGGGCCTGAAGATTTGTTGGTTAGTCCAATTTAAGGTCCCCCAGTATAAATGTACTTTATCTTCGTCCACTTACATTCCGCCTAGATTACCTTAAATCCAACAAGTTATCCTGCTAACCCAAAAATCTAGCTTTACAATACAGGCCCCGGGTGCATTTCTGTTTTGTAACTGGTGGACCTACAGTCATCTGCCTACCTCCAAAATCAAGGGCTGCAATTCATCAACGGAGCCTTCTTGGCTGTTTTAATTAACAGCCCCTCTGGTTTAGAAACTCATGTACGGAAGGGCATGTCCAGGATCAGGGTCAAGGAAGAAATTGCTGAAGTTAAAAGCCAATGGAGAGGCAGTGTGAGCATGGTGTACGTTATTGTTTAATATTCCCGGTCTTCCCGTCTGTTCAGTGGAAGACCTAGAGCGAAATGATGGATCGGCTCAGAAGCCATACTACATGTCTAAGAATCTGATGAAGATCCTCGGCAAGAAGAACCAAGTGAAGAAATGATGACAGACCTTTGCTTTTATCATAACTCTTGTTTTAGTCGCATTCCAGAGGCTGGTGTCTGCCTTTTACTTTTTTACCCTCCTGTTACCGTTCCCATCTCCCGCCTCTGCAAGGTCATGTTTACACAACACAAATGCGTGTTTGCACTTTAACCAGCTTTAATGGTTTGATCGCCATGTTTCATGGGTTGGGACGCGCGTGTGTTAGGATCGTGTCCCTGGTTGTCATGTGAAGACACCCACATACCAAGGCCTCGCTTCCGTGTCGTGTTGAATCATCCACAAGGCCACAAAAATGATTGTAATAGTCATTTATCACATCAGGTAACTTTTACATTTTTTAAAAAAATTCTTAATAGTTTTCAGTTTTGTCAAAGAGTTAACCTGAGAACCTTAAAACTACTCAGAATCATTTCAAATGTATTTTGACAATTTTACATGCCATCTGTGAAATCTTTTTAAAAATGTACAATCAAAACTATGACTGGTGATGGAGACCTTTGGTATAAATATTATTTATTAAATTAAAAGTAGTTCAATACAATTTTAATGTCATTTTTTTTGTTCTCCATGTTTCCTTTTGAAAGTCTTTTCCCCCAAAATCCCCATTTAAAAGAATTGCGAGGAACTGGATATCAGGGTGAAAAAAAACTGTAAAATGTGAATTTTAAATAGGGCTGCTAGTGAACCTGGCTGACGTTGTGTTATCTGGAGCCTATCCTGAAGGCTACAGGTACAAGGCAGGGGACAACTTAGGATGGGGTGCCAACCCACTGCAGGGCACACTGACACACCATACACACACTCACTCACACACCATTCACTCTTCACACTCACACATGTTTTGGGCTTGGTGGTGGGGGGGGCAGAGGGAGAGACTGGAGTACCCAGAGGAAACCCCACAATGACATGGGGAGAACATGATGCAAGCTCTACCCACATGGAGCCCTGGTCCCCGAGGTGAGGTGACAGCACTAACCACTCCGCCACCATATGAATAGTACAGAATGGCATGTCCGTATGAAACTGACAAAGTGCTGCTTCGAGTAATTTGATTTGCATATTTTATACTGCATTGTTTATCCCTTGTTTTGTTCATCACAAATAGCCCACAATTATTAACAAATTAGATTTACACGTGTACACGATAGTATTAAACACATTTAATTAGCAGGACAACACATTGTTCCTTTTTTGTTCATTTAAGATATCTGTTTTGCACAATTTTCATATTTTAGTGTCACAAAAGACGTCATAAAAATTAAATTTTCCCTCTGGATTTAGTGTCGCAAAAGACTTGAAATACAAATGCCTGATTTAATTAGACAGTGATATGCAGAAAGAATCAAGTTCAAAGCATATCAAACATCCATGACGACGTGCTGTTCCCCCGTCCTTTAATCCCATGGGACCTTTTTCTGAGGCTTTGTCTGCAGGCATGATAGCACCTGCTGCTCAGAACGCCGCCATTTCGCTTTCGCAATAAATTCTTGCTGAGCCAGGTCACGTGATCACATTGGGCCAATCAGAGTGCAGTGCACAACAGCTGGCACAGAAACCTATTCTGTTGCCTCGCTGGGCTGGGCGTCTTCCCCGCTTGGGTACATGTGTGGAACATGGCAGCACACAACACTGCAAAACTGAAATGTCGGCAAAAAACAGTGGCATCTCATTTTTGTTCTACCCTCCTCCCATGTAGCCAGTCATTTACAAGGCTGTTCACTTGAAGTCACATTAAAAACAGCACCTACCATATTCATATATACATATATTATGCACACACACACACAGAATCAGAATACTTATCATTGCAATAGAAATATATTATGGTATTAAGAAATGTAATTATAATGTTGATCTTTTAACAAAGTCTTTATGGAGGCCTCAGCTCACAGGACTGTACCTCATGTTGCCATATACCCGTTTACTATATTCCACCACGACATTCCTTACGTAACACCACTGAACAACACTGCAGTGTGTCGACACTGGAACACCATAACAACACGACCCTCAGCAATACTCTACATCACACCGTCCGGTAGTACCTGCTATCCAGCGCAGTGCCGCTCACCACGGGAATATGCACCTGCCTGACCTTTGCACGCTGCTCCCAGCTCTAAAGCCTGTACCGATAAGGACAGTGCCTTTCTGCCGACGCCGGATCCACATCCGGGTGAAACTCTCACTTCCTGTGGGGTTGCGATTCTTTGGCTTATACACAGAAACACTCGCCGCCCTTTTCAAAGCAGATCTCTTCCCGCCAGAATAAACGTTTAAAGCAATAAAAATTTACTCCAAGGTTTAATGAATAAAAAGAACAGAAAATGCAAACTGCAGTGCTACAGTTCATCGGCATGTCTGGCAGCCCCAAACAGCCGCCTGCCTGGTCAGCTGCCCACACACTACGCTGGGCCCAACACTGCAGCTTTACTGTCGGTGCAGAAGTGCACGTCTGCAACACAGCAATATGTCTCAGACTAGTTATTAAAAGAGCCCCCACCCCCGACGACGATCCATGGTGCACAAACACCTCGAGTTTAATACTGTCAACTATAACCCCCACCCCTATTCTTAACATGTGAGTATGTGGGCATGTATGTACAAGCTCACGCAGGAGAGAGACTAAAAGGACGATGATGGTGGACGAAAGGAGAGCGAGATGAGCGGGGCGGGGAAAGTGCTTCTCCAAGCCCTCGAAACTCCCCGTTTCACTGCCAGCTGGGAGGAGAGAGCAACAGACATCTCCCAAACACAGGGACCCCCCCCCTTTAAATTTCCCCAAATATCAAGAGTATCATGTCCAGTCTACTCAGGTCCAGTCTACCCATGTACTCCCTCCCCACCCCTGTTCCAGCTGCACCTATTCCAAACCCATCCCACTCCTCACTGCCCACTGGTTTTAGCACAGTGCTACTGGACTGTGCCGTCTGTCTGTGTATGTGTGTGTACGTGTGTATATGCGTGTATATGTGTGTGTGCCTGTGTGTGTGTGTGTGTGTGTCAGAGAGAGACAGATAACACCCAGCCCCACCAAACAACATCTCCCTCATACGCTGAGCAGCCAGAAGAAGAAGAATATGGCCACAAACAGGAAAAGAGAGTCCTGCCAATTGTTGCCGTTGTTTGGGTTACCGTTGCCATGGTGATCGGCGGGGTACTGGGGATCTGTAACAAGAGATGAAATCGATATAAAATGATCTTTCTACAGGAGTTGAGCCCAAGTGAAGCAGCTGTACACCTAATATAATACATCATTTTCAAGCATTAGTCTTTCTCCAGCAAATTTGAACCGTTAGTATGACTGTGCTGACATGAGCAACAAGGAACCATAGAAGCACCCAGGTGGAGAAGGGCCTCAAAAGGGAACCTGAGCACCGTAGATCCACGGCGGTTTGGACCATAACAGACACCAGGGAACAAACAAGCCTTCCTCACCCTGACCCTGAGTCAGATGCGTAGAACACCGGCCGAGGCTCACCTGCTCTGTGAAACGGGTCGTTGGTGTTGAAGATGGTGGTGAAGAAACCGAACGGAAAAGCACCGATTCCAAACGACATGTGGAATCCTGTGTCTCCAAATCCCTGGAAAGGCTGGAGGAGAAGAAGCCCTGATCACTGAGGGCTCTCCACACTTACAACACATGTGCACTTTGACAGCAGAGGTTAATAAGTGTTTGGGTGTATATACACACACTCACAGATAAAATTATGAAGTATACCCGGGCAAAACTGTGGATCCATGCAGATATTCCACAGTATATATTGACATAACAGTAACATTGATCAGTTTAGAGACAGCAAAGGGATGACTGGCCTGGTGTCGATGGCCGTTTCCAAGGCTGGGGAATATGAAAGGAAAAGGCTCACCCCTCTGCTCTCTGGCTCGGTTCTCTGGCCCTGGGGTCGAGGCGGAGTTTTCAACCTACAACACAAAACCCATTAAAGCTCTGGCACCGATTTCGGGAGCAGGAACATAAACCAGAGAGACTGAACAACGCACACACAGACACAGATGTGCACGCAGAGAAACCACAGACACACACAGTACTACTGAAAAGTCTTTGGTAGTCAAAATATATGTATAAGGCTATTTATCTGGGTAGTAAGTATATATTTGCTCTGGAAAAAAAAGCAAATTAGCATTAGAACATATGCAAATTAACAGCAGCACAATAACAATAATTAAATATTTCTTTCGTTCTCCAAAAAGTTATTGATATCTTATTGGATGGCTAGATGAACATCACTTTGGTTCCCAAACCTACACTCACAGGCACACGGGCCATTCCATGTATTTGTTAAATTTCACCACCAGTTCAAGTAATTAACTTAATTAGTTACCTCAGTGAGGTAGTGATTAGCCAAAGAAGGTGGGGCAAGTGTTTGAATAATAAAAAAAAATACACTGTACTGTGTATTGCAGTATTTCCCAACCCAGTCCTTGGAGAACCCCGGACAGTCCATGTTTTTGCTCCCTCCCAGCTCCCAGCCAATCGGGAACAGCGAATACCTGATACAGGTGTGCTGGGAGCTGGGAAGAAGCAAAAACATGGACAGTCAGGGGTTGTACGAGGACTGGGTTGGGAAACACTTGTGTATTGGGATGGTTGCTGTAAATACGGGAGTGACTTTAGGAGATGTTTAGAAATGGGACGCACTTTGACAGAAACAGTATTTTAGTTCAACGCCAGCATGAAAGTGATTTAAACATCATTTTCTTTGACTCCCTAAGCCTTCTGCCCAGTACTGCACGTACGCACACAGGCAGAGAGTACCCCGTACCTGGGATCCTCCTGGCTGGAGCTCCCCCTGCCGTACAGGGGAATGACCTTATCCCTGCTGATGCCGGCCTTGCACACTGGACACTGCTGCCTGCTGGGGCGAGTCTCCAGCCACTGGGAAGGGACAGAGGGAAGGTGCTGAGGATGGGCTGCACGGGACCTAGACATACACACTGTAGCATGTGTTAATGATCGACTCCTACCTGGTGAAGACATGGCCAGCTATGGGGGGAGACAGAAAAAAAAGCCTTAGTATATTTATTTCCAATACAACTGAAACAGTGGGTTTTATGTAACCCAAGGACACAGTAAAGGGGGGGGGGGGGGTTAGGATGGTTGCAAGCCCCCAGAGTGACAGGGGGCCTAAATATCTGGAAGATGGAAGATGGTCTGGGTTGGGGGTGCAATATGACACGGTGTCACAAGGCCCAGAATCTCCAGCAGCACCTCTGATGTAACCAGCTTTTACGGGTTCCTATTGCTGGCTGTTCTTAGATCAGTTTCTCTCACTTTTTCATAAGCATACTATATTTGTACAAAGGCACAGCAGATAAAGCATCTGGTGTTTCTTATTTCTGATCTTGCGTTTCACTCCATATTTGGATTTGGCATGCTGACCGGGAAGATAGCAAAGCCCCACTATTAACGAGGCGAGGAATCAGACAAGCGCCCCTCTTCATCAGTAAGCTCTAATTAGCCCTGCGAGTCGCCCGCTTTGCCCGCTCATGACGGCTACCCCAGGAGAGGCAATGTAGTGCAGCGGTAGGTCACGGCAAGCTGAGAAGACATCAAACTCACAACCCACAAAGAAACAATACAAAACCAGCACTGAGAAAACTAGAGGTACAACCCCTGTTATCTCAATCATGTGTTTATACACCAATTCAGACCTACAGGAGTGCTCAGCTTCCAGCATTAATTAAGATGATTTAATTAAGCGATTCACTGTAGCACTTAACCCTTCCAAAAAATCTATACATTCTGATGGACAAGACAGACACTGGTGTTTCATATATACACTTGTACTTCAAAACAAGGTGGTCCTGTGATAATCAAGCTGTATATAAGCACACCTAAGCGATTACTGACACCTCCGGCACGGCTGAACCCAGAGCTGAGGAACAGGAAGAACTTGTCGCGGATGAAGCCTTAACAGCCTAATAATGTATCTGCTCGTCAAAATAAAGCAACACTCTGCATGGGGGCTCACTAGAGCCAGGAAATGTGATTACAGTAAGCACTGGAACCAGGGACTTTTAAAGTTGATTTTTTATTCTGTTATAGAGTTTGCATAGAAAACGAAACGTCTTCCAAGTCCATTGATCCCTCAAGCTTGAACACAGGTCTGGATGCTTTTACAACCATTAGCTGGGCTGCCAACTCTCATGCATCTGGCGTGACTCTCACGCTGTCAGACTCTCACGCATCTGGCGTGACTCTCACGTCATCAGACTCACGCAAGAAATCTTATGGGAAATATATATATATAAACATATATATACATATATACATATATGTACACACACACACATACATACATACATATATTCTATTATAAACCTAAAAATAGCTATATCAAAAGCGTTGGGGTAGCCTGCAAACCCTACAGACTAATAAAAGTGTTACATACATGTGCGGACTTGTCTCCAACTGAAAATCTCACGCCAGCCAGCTGACCAAAGTTTGGCAACCCCGCATTAAACTTAAGATGCCTTATTTTATGTCAACTTATTGTCTGTGCCCCCGGCCCCAATACCTTTGTCCCTAATCTTGCATTAGCCTTACAGCATTATGGAAGCTTTTGCACTTAAAACCGCTTAAAACACACTTACACTATCGGGGCAGTGTTCAGCCATATAAAGTCTGAAACTCAGCTCCCTATCGCTTCTTGACTTGTTTGTAGAATTTCCGTCTATAACAGTTTAATTAATCGCACCATACATAATTAATTATACATATAATAATCAAAATAACCCCTACAGTTGTGCAGCACCTGGACCAATAGAGAAAGTTATTCTAAACTGTTACTGCATTTAATCCAGCTGCATTTTAGACCTACAGCATTGAGTGTGCCTTTGACGGTGAAACTCACCACGTCCCTGCAAACATTACTATTCATAGGCACAAAATACTTCACTGTAACTCAGCTTTACTAGACTACCGATGCGCTTATTTTGCTATTGCAATATGGAGTTATTTGTTACATTGTTGCCTTGAGTGGAGGAGGACGTGTTCTTGTCCATCGTTAGTCACTAACACAGTTCATGCGCAGACAGCTTCACTAACGAATTAAAGTAATTACTCATAAGTGATCAAGCGAACCGCATTACTGTACACTTCAGACCTGCAGACCATGTTTTGCTCCCAAAAGAATCAAACCTTAGGTAATACTTAATACTATCAATCGCAATGAATGTAATGACGTTCAAGACAAAATCGGTCAACATTTAGATTCACATATGATAAGAAATTGCAAAGTTATCTTGACCCATAATCAAAAGCATTTTACCCAATCATCCATCCATCCATCCACCCCACTGTCAACCAATACAGATGCCTACACAGCTAACCGATCCACACAATTTCATTGCTCTCTCTTTTATTTAACTACCAGTACGTAATCGGACCTAAAATTATTCCATTGATCAGGTAAACTTAAATAAGTAAAGCACTAACCCAGCTTCCTTATTCAGAGCCTGGATATAAACCAGGTCGGTTAGCTGCATTGGATAAGAACGTTTTATACCACCATAACATCATTATACATAAAAAATGTATAAACGGCAGATGAAGGAGAATGCTACTAATCAACTAGCCTCACTCAGCATAGCTATGGGGCTAATTCCCGAGCGCCGTTAGCTGCAGTTAGCCGAGAGGCGAAGCGCCTCACCTCCCCGCCGCAGCCGAAACGGCGGCACCTACCAGAACAGGTGTCCGCACAGGCTGATGACCGCGTCCCTGGCCGTGTCCAGGCATATGTTGCATTCGAAGGTGGCACGGTCGCGCTCACGCTCCCGCTCGCCGCTGCCATCCCCAGCGCCTCCGCGCTCGTCACTGCTCTCCCCCGCCGGAAAGCTTCCCCTGCTGGCAGGTCCGCCGTCACCCGAGGACCGAGGATCCGCGGCCGCCATGTTTGTTTACGGAAAAAAAGTAGAAACTAACGACAGACGCGACCGCCTATCCTTCCGACCTGAGCGTGCCTGTTATCGCTGGTTCGCAACTTCCGCTTCCGGCAACCGGAGGGGAGGGGCAGGAAAAGAGTTTGAGCTCGTGCCTGAAACTTTACAGTGATGCCTGCTATCTCTTCTCGCTGGAAGGTCTTGATGAATGGCGTCTTTTAGTGGGTAGCATGATTGCTTCACACCTCCAGTGTTGGGGGCCTGAGTCCCAAACTCTCACCCTCCTCGAGCACGGTTTCCTTCCAGTGTTCAAAGACGTGCGCTCATTTAGGGCGAATGGTATCTCTAAATGAAATAATTGTGTGTGAGAAAGTGTGCTCAGCGATGGACTGGCGTCACATCCAGGGGGTCCCCTGTCTTATGCCCTAATGTGCTCCCGGATCTCAGTGACCCTGTACTAGATTGATTAGAAGATGGACGGATGACATTTATTCCTGTGATGAATTCTTAATACTTATATTCAGTATAGACCAGAATAATTATACATTTTGTGTTTTTCAGATTTTGTGGTTTACTGTTTGACTGGATTTACCTCGAAGGATGTTAAACGATATGGGCTGAAATGTTAATATTGGTGACATTAAGCAAGAATGTAAAGCTTTT